CATGAGGACCTTAGATTTGATTGATTGCAGCAACGATAAGGGTCCTGATTTTATTGAATCTCTCAACCGGTCATCTAAGGTTATGCATGGTTTTCCTCTCGCTATCCAGCTTCTTGCATTTGAGTCCATTCCCGCGCCCTGACAGTTAATTCCAAATCCAGAAGATGAAAGCATTTTTAGTACTAGGTCAATCCAACACCTAGCAAAGATTCACCCAATTTAGACGAACTCGGTTATGGCTTGTGAGAAAGGCGTGAACGTAAGTTTACGCTTACTTGTTCATACATTTACACATTTTGCAATTTGTATACCACTGTTGTACGTACACAATTTCAAATGTCAGGTTATTGTGGACTCTATCCTTCATGTTGATCACCCCTCTCCCGAGTACTTGTTGGGTTGGGAAAAAGAACCATATGATCCACAAATTGTATATCTTGAAAAACTCATAAAAGAAGGATACCAATTTGATGATACCATTTGGCGGGGTGGAGCTGTTTCTACTATTGTAGATATGGTTCTTTTTTGGTCTAACCTATTTAATAACACACATCGGTGTACAATATTTTACAAGCACACTATCAAAACCTTATACAGAGAAAGAAAAAGGCAAAGTTTCTGAAGGTTATACCAACTGTAGCATAGGTAATGTACATTTGTATTTATGATATTTATACATAATATTTTATATTTATACATAATATTTGAGTTAAACATTGTAATTGTGTAGAGCAACCAACACGAAAACGAAAAGGCAAACAACCCGTAGATGGTGGAAAAAAAAAACAAAATAAACCTAATGTTGTTCCTGATTTTGTTGAGCAAGTCAACAACAATGATTCTGATTCAAACGGAGACATATTCGACAGAATATATATTGAATTAAGGCGTACCTTTGTAAAGCAAAATCAACGCACATACAAAGCAATTAGGGAAGCTGTTGTGGAGATCAAACAGTATATAGATGGGAGATTACCAGCTCAGTCTCAGGAGGCGAGGGTGACCAGGACTAAGTCAAGGGTTAGGAATAGTAGTACTCCTTCGCCCAATATACCACTAAGGAGGTCACCACGATCAGGTCTTAGGTCTTCCCTGTTGAATAAGGGAAACCAAATGCTTACACCATCCGTGGACGACAACCTTCTAGTACACGAAGATGCGAAAGCAGCTATTGGATGCGGTACCAGCCACGTACATCAGGTACACCTTGACTTTAATAGGCTTCTGACCAGGCAGAACTCGTATATTGTTTAATAGTAAGTACTTACTCACCTATTTACAGGATCAAAGTGGAGAACAACATATAGTTGTTGTGGCTGATACTCATCCTCCTGACATGGGCCAGACGGTATTACCATCCACCATTGGGACGGTGCCTGAGTCACCCACTAGAATAGATGTAGATGAGGTATAGTGCAGATAAAAT